CCACCACGCTGATGACATGTTTAACTTGTTACACAATCTCTTTCATACATTTAACAGATTCCAGTGATTTCAGGATGGTCCTCCCAGCGTATGCTATAAGCAACTATTTCATCTCAAGGTCCTAAATTCATGAAGCTCTTAGCCTTTATTTCTGAGCATCTTCAGAAAACTTATTTTCACTTTCTCAGCTAAAGAATGACAGTGCTGCTGCTGATCCAGCTACACACTCATAGATCTCACATTTTCTTTTACAATCTGATATTTAGGCCCATTTTGTGTCTCTGTACAGAAGCTGCCATGAGTAAGTTCAGTTTTCATATGTGCAAATTTACTGCTATAGTCTAATACACTTTCATGGTTCCCAAATTCCTTTTTGATGTGCAAGTCCTTTCATGCCTTAGGGAAGCACACGAGAAAGCATGGAAGTACTTGAAATATTAATAAATAGGTGCTGGAGGCTGGTATTATAGGCCAACTGGATGTAAGGGGAGGTGGTGTCTTAGTGATGAATCAGAAATGCTAGGACAGGGGGAAGGCACATCAGGAAAGGTTGGGATGATGCAAAATTTGAAATGACACAGCAAGGGCAATTGCACCCAAAAGGTTATCTGTCCAGAATCACTTTGAACAGATTTGAAAGGTGCAAGACTTTGTGAGAACCCAGAGACAAGGAAGCAGGACAATGCCTATGTGGAATAGTGTGGCTGAAGTAATGACTGGGAAAGTACCTTTGATATGATATACAGAAAAACTCAACAAGGTGTGATTTCAGAACTGGATGTGGGGATGTAAGGAGAATAAAGAGTGTGAGACCATGCATAGAATCATCTTGCTATAGCTGCACTGAGGATGAGCAAGGCTAGTCTTCCTCCTAAAGATCTAAGTTTAAGGATTATTTGGAGCAAAATGGGATCTAGAGAAGTTGACTTATGAGTTGTCCACATAGAAATGATATTAAAATGTATGTTTACCTACATTCAGCAAAACAGGGAAGTGGTATATAGAGCAGGGAAATGGGCCAAAGACTGAAGTCTTGTGACAAAGTTCAGCTGGGGTGGAGTCTCTTACAAAGAAGTAATGATTGGAGAGATAGGATAAGAAACATGGAGACAGTCACAGGAGCAACGAGAGACTAGATTTCACAAAGAGTGTTCTCATGGCACTGAAGTCACCATTACTTCAAGAGATGTTAATGGTGTTTTGAGTTGCATCAGACTTTCCATGGAACCTGGGAGCCAGAGGAAAGTTTGGAAGGTGTTTAGGAGAAAACTGAAGAAAAGGCTTTGCAAATAATGATTGCAATTGACCTGGTGCCCAGACTGCGATGCTAGAAGGGAGCACTGCAGACATTTCAAGAAGAGGGAAATAATAGGTGGATATGGATCTGTACTTCAACAGGACTTACTTTGTCTACCTTTGAAAGATGTGAACTACCCTAATAACTTCCAAATGTTGGTTTGTAGAAATACAGTGACTTTAGTGCTGACGATCAAGCACTTCTGCACGTCGAACTCCCACTTACATTAGTAGTTAATCAAAGACAAGGCAGGCAATACAGAAAGCTCCTGGTTCTTGTGAAAACCCTTAGGTTCATCACAGGACACTCCTGAGAATGTTCTGGGCATCTCTGAGAAAGCACTAATAGATGCAGAATCTATATAGTATAGCACAGGCCCACAGAAACAACTAATTCAATATAGTTCTATATTTAATGTAGTTCAGCTACAGAGCAACAACACTGCAGTGTGGAAAATCACTGGCAGACTTACAGGGATATGCATATTACCCAGTATGACAGAACCAAAAGATGAAAAATTAGTCTTGGACTTTGGTAAAGAGTTGGGAAGTCAAAACAATCACAGAATGGAAGAAATACAAAACTTTATCATGGTTTAGACACAGATGCTTTAGAATTTGGAAAGGTCATCCTAAACTACAAAACCTACAGAAATGTCACTTCCTTGCAATGAGCTAAACACAAAGATACATTTTTATAAAGAAATTGGAAGCTTCTGCTCAGTCTTTTAAAGCAAAACTAGCAGTTGGCAGAGAAGAGTCAAGCAAAGGGCAAAAAGACTGAAGAACAAAAGTCTTCATGGACTGATTTTTTTTTCTTTCTTTTTTTTTTTTTTTCCATTGTGTGAAAGCAATTTAACAAGTGAAGACTTGAACATATTTGAAGATATTTTACTTTACGAGATCAAAACTATAAGGCAGCTGAAATGGCCAACAGACCAGTTGAAGCCTGTTGATCCTGCAGTAACAACATGAAATGCTGGGTTTAGTTGCTGTACTGGTTTGAGTGCACTGTAGTATCATTGATAATACAGTTTCATATACATCCTCTCTTCAGTATCTTTGCCTCACACTGGCTTTTTGGTTTCTATTACCTTATGGTGAAGTTTCTCACTTTATTCTGATTTTTACTAGTGCAAGACCAGTGAGCAGGGTCCAGCTGTCTGCTGCATATCATTATCGTGGCCCTATTTGTAATAATACAGGGAAGAGGAAGCGAAACCCTAAGTTGATGAAAGAGTTCAGCTGGCTGGACAGATGGGAAAGGCTATTTTCTCTGGTATGTTAAGCAAAAAGATCCAGCAAGGTGTGATTCATAGGTTGGATATGAGTACAGTATGTAGCATGTGATCAAAGAGAAAGAGTTAATCTCTTATAGAATACAGTTTCCTTCATCTTGATCAGTTAACTTCAGATAACCTGACTGACTCTAAGGGTTTATTAATCTGGAAGTTTTTGCCCCACCCAGACCTGTGCCACTACATTGACCATCAGAGTGCTTTACTAGCTCGGCTGCTTTCCTTCCTTGGAATCCTCCCAAATTAGCCTCTCTTGAGGGCTTAATTTCCATAGTGCACCATACTCAGACCAGAAGCTGAGCACTAACCTTCATTAATTCAGCATGTCCAGCTGGACTTGAGATTTATTTTTTTTTTCACAGGCCAGCATAATTCCCCTCAGATTCAAAACACTTAAAGCAATGTGTAAGACTGATAACATACCTAAAGGCCTGCTATTACCGTTATCAAACCTGCTCCGGTCAGACACCAGCAGCTGCTGGGACTGCGATCAAGCGCACCCCACTCATGGGCATAGGCAGCATTAATGGCAGCCACTTTTGTCTCTGTGTCGGCTATCTGCCTGCAGGACACATGCCTCAGTGCCTCCTCTTCCACTTTCTTCATGTATTCATACCTGTAGACTGGATTCCTCACCCTTCTGGAGTATGGCTGGGACATTCATCACAGGGAGCTGCTGCCTGCTGCTTGAATCCAGTTCTCATCCTGTTACTCCTACCACAATCTGGGAACACTGCCTTGCCCCTTGGAAGTCCTCTCCATGCTCAGCAGGCTGAACTGACCTGTCCTTTCCCTTGCCTTTATGTTTCCTTGGCTGAGATTCAGTCTTGTCTGCCAGGTTTGCTAAACACACTCTGCTCCCCATAATCTACGAGTACTCAAGGCTCCAGTGGTATCTTTAACAGGTGAAAAACACCCTACTCTGAGAAGAGTTGCAGCTGTAACTTGTCTTCCAAACTTACGATCTGCTTTTGTTCTTTTAACTCCTCTGAACCTGGTTCCTGAAGCTACCTTGACCAGGCCTTTACTAAACCTTTCCTTTTGCTTTTGCACGAAACACTTACAGACTGGGGAACTCTGCCTTGTGCATGTGTGCAGGCATCAACCGTGATTGAGCATGGTAAAATGATCACATTTGATATTTGTAAGGGGTAATTCAGATACGTTTTCATAGAATTATAGAATGGTTTGGGTTGGAAGGGACCTTAAGATCATGCAGTTTCAATCTCCCGGTCATGATCAGGGACACCTCACACTAGATCATGTTGCTCAATGCTCTGTCCAACCTGGCCTTGAACACTGCCAAAGGTGGAGCAGCCACAGCTTCTCTGGGCAAACTCTGCCAGCACCTCGCCAGCCGCACAGGGAAATTTCTTCCTTATATCTAACCTGAAGTTCCCTTGTTTCAGTTTGAACCCAGCACTCCCTGTCCTATCACTCCAGTCCCTGATGAAGATTCCCTCTTCAGCACCCTTGCAGGCCCCCTTCAGATATTGGGAGGCTGCTCTGAGGTCTCCACACAGGTTTTCTCCAGGCTGAACAGCCCCAGCATTCTTCAGCTGTCTTTGTATGGGAGGTATTTTCTGCCTGCAACTTCATGTACACCCCTTCTTATGGCACTTCTGCATTAACATCATCACTCCACAGGTTCAAAGCGGCTTGAGGAGCTGGGGAGCTCCCACGGTTGAGGCCACTGAAGCTGACTCTGCTGTAGTACCTCAGCTGTCCCAGGGCATTGCCCTTGGCAGCGTGCTCTGACACCCCTCAGGTATACCGAAACAACCACACCGGGGAAGGCACAGCCTGATGTCTCCGCGGGGTATCGGTACATGCTCACACCAGAGCTCTGTGCTGCTCCCTTGAGAAGTGTCTCTCCTGTCAGAGGCAAGCATTACTCCCTCACTGGGCCCTGTCTTGCGAAGCCCCCGGGACGATTACGCGGACCCGCGCTAAGCGAGCTATGCGCTATGTTTCCCAAGGAACACCTCGGCTTTTGCTCCCAGACCTGCCACCCCGCACCGGGGCGCCGACCCGGCTGAGAGCGCGGCCAAAAGCTACACCGGCCAGGCCGCAGCGGTGCGGCGAGACACCGCTTCCCGCAGGGGGCAACAGCGAACCGCCGGGGAACGGACGGATAGGGACGGGACAAAAAAGAAGGCCAGACCCGGCGATACCGCTCCTTCTGCACCCCGTCCCTGCCCCTGCCCGAGCCCGAGCCCGAGCCCGAGCCCGAGCCCGAGCCCGAGCCCCGCCCACACACCCTGCTAGGCCCCGCCCCTGGTCCAGCTCCTCCCATAAAAGGGGCATGGCTCCGTTGGCAGCGGCTTCCTGGAGACTTCGCTTTCTGCACCGCGCCTGCGCAGCCGCTGTCGGCGCGCTTGCGCCGTAAGTGCGGGCAGAGGGTCCGGAGTGGAATTGCGGTGGCCGTTACTGGCGCCGTTCGCAGCGGGGCGGCGCGGTGGGGATGAGCCTCTGCCCGGCCCGGCTCAGCGGACGCGGGCGGGGGAACGCCGCGCGCCAGGTCGGGCCTCCAGCAGCCCGCTGCTGTTCGCTTCTGCCGTCCCGCAGGCGAGCGGCTGCGGAGCTCGGGGAGCGCCGCTGACCGGAGCCGCCCGCTCGGGCCCTATCGGGCCCGGGGCGAGGGAGGGAGGGAGGGAAGGAAGGAGGGACACGCAGGTAGTGGGGCGGCCGCGCCCCAGCCCAAGCTCCCCGGGAGACGGGGGGGCTGTTGGGGCGGCCCGGCCTCTCTCTCCTGCGGTCCCGTCTCCTCCCCTTCGTTCCCCCGCGCGGTGGTTAGGCAGGCGAGGGAGTGCGCGGCCCGGCGCCCTCGGAGAGGATGGTGAAGCCGCCCGCAGCTCCCGCGCCGGGCCGGGAGGCGGCCGAGCCGAGCCGGGCCCGCGCCGCCGGGGCGCTCCGCAGAGGCTAAGGGATGAGCCGTACCCCGCGGGGTGGTCGCTAGCGGAAGGATGACCACTCCCGCCTTGCTGCCGCTCTCCGGGCGGAGGCTGCCCCCTCTGAACCTGGGCGCCTCCGCCTTCCCGCACCACAGGGCTACCTTGAGACTCTCCGAAAAATTTATCCTGCTCCTGATTCTTAGTGCCTTCATCACCCTGTGCTTCGGGGCTTTCTTCTTCCTCCCCGACTCCTCGAAGCACAAGCGCTTTGACCTGGGCTTGGAGGATGTGCTCATTCCTCACGTGGACACCAGCAAAGGGGGCAAGAACCTCGGCGGCTTCCTCATTCACGGGCAAGAGCACGACGAGCACCGGCACAGGTAAGAGCCTGGGTTGCCTGTGGAGAGCGAGCGGGTCCCCTTGGGAGCGGGGCCAGGTGAAAGGGAGATCCCTTGAAACAAGCCCTTCCCGGATCCCTGTCGCTCCTTTCTCTGACGTGCTTCTGTCTTCCTAACGAGCGTCAACTTCTGGGCTCTACCTTTGTGTCCTCCAGCTGCCATATGTAGCTGTGGTTTCGTGTTTTCTTTACCACTGTGAATTTAACCTCCCGGCTAGAGAGGACTGGGAGGATAAAACTACTGATTTATTTTCTCACCCTAGTCAATTTCCAGGCTCAGTCGTGGGAAGAAGGGGGTTAAAATATGGCATTTGTGGAGGCAGTATATGTGACTGAAAAACTGCTGCATCTTTTCTATAGATGTTATGTGCTTACTCAAAACCAGCTGCTTGTTGCTGAATAGTGTAGCAAGAACTTTGATCTGACAAAGACTTCATGCTGTGACCCTGAGGCTGTCAGCTTGTGATGTGCAGGGCACAGAACTAGTGTAGATGGCAGGGTCCCCTTTTCTGGCCCTTAAAATCACTTGTTATAATGCTGTATCCAGACAGTTGGAGATGCCGAGGTCTGAGTTTCCATAACTGTGTTTGCCAGTGTGAAGAAATTGAAGGTAAAATAGTAATGAAGAGTAAGAAGGGTAAATGTCATGCTGCTGATAGCTTTTTGGGCTGCCTAAAGCTTTGTGCAGCACAAACCTCTAAATGTTAAAGACAAAGTCGTGTGAAGATAAGCCTTCAACTCTCATTTTTTAAATCTGTTTTATACATTATGTCTCCTTCCAATGTAAATGAGTGAGGATGTAGATGCCCTGCAGTCTCCTCAATTTATCAGATTTTTTTTTTTTAAAGAAAACAAGATTATCTGTAAAATAAAAATTGAGCAGACTTGCTTCTTTAATGATGTGTCAAGCAGCTGCTCTTTATATTAACTTACTTTAAACGCTTAAATCCTACCATAGTGCCTGGGTCATAGTGAAGCTGACTGATCTCTCTTCACTGTCCAAGATGTGAAAGTGATCATCATGGGTAATAAAATATAAGCTCTTCATCCTCAAATTAGTAATACAGTGAAATTTAAAGAAAGGTGACTTATGCTGATGGCATTTCCTTTGAGAACAGTTTAAAGTATATCCTGTTGACTTAAGAATTATTTAAAGGTTATTTGTGCTAGATAAAAAGGAGAGGGTGTAAGTGCCTCTCTCCCCATCTGTTATGAGTTATAAAGACTACCTGAATACTATGGTATTTTTTCTTAGGGCATCTTTGCTGTTGGATGTCTTGTGACACTTATGAGCTCTTTCTCCCTAACTGAAGGGATATGGATGCTTAATATTTAACAAGAACTTCTTTTGTCTGTATCATTAATTTCTTGTGTGGTTAAATGTTGAACACAATGTAGGTTTAGGAACTCTTTAATGTGTCCTTGAAGTTCTCATCTTTCACTCCTTTTTTTTTTTAATGATCTTAATTCTTAGCTTCCCCCCCCCTGTCACAGTGGTACATGCATTCAAAATCAGGTTCTAAAATAGAAGACAGGTGCAACAAAAGAAGGAAGAGTTCAGAAATGTTCAGAACTCCAGCTGTGACTGTTCTACCTTGTGTTGCTCAGTAGACAGGCCACAGAAAATGAAGCTTACTGATACTGATAGTTATGGAGTGATGCTCTTGATTAACCCACTTACGTGTGTCCTTTTCGGATTTCCTCTTTAAGTATAATTACTGGGGCTACAGCTTTAGTAGTGATATGCATGCTATTTTTCTGTCATACATGGATAACCAGTAACTTGCAACTGTTGGAGCTAAATGTGTTTTGCTTGTTTGGGATCTGCTTTTAAAGTGGTTATCCCGTCATCAGTTAACTCTCTTGTGGTCCCTCCATTAACTATGAATGTGTGTACCTTCCCCTGCCCCACCACCTAAAATTGCCCCTCTCATGTACAGGTTTCTTTGCATGGTTGTGTTTCGATTTATTTATTTATTTATTTATTTATTTTTAAACTTGAGCAAAAATAGATACTGTTCCTGTTGTTTGAGCCCTGCAGACCACTGGGTTACTCCAGGCAAGTCTTAACTACTAAAAAAGCCTGCTTGTTTAACCTGCTTGTAAGACACTTGTGTGAATGCCACATTAATCAATGTGAACCCAGGTGTTGTGCTTTGCTTCTGGAGCAGCTTTTCTGGCTTATTACCGCATAGCCTTATCAACAGGCCATTGGCTAGTTTTGAGATGACGGAGTGACTGTTTTCCATAAAGGAAAATACAAGTTGCCATTTTCATTGTTGAGTTCCTACTCCTGGATTGTAGGGACATTGACAGGCAGTATTTTGAGAAAGTACAGGGTCTTCAGTAGTGAATTCTAGGTTGTTACCTCAGTTTGAGAACGGAAAAATTTTCAGCTTACTATCAAGGACCAAAGTCAAGTGTCAACTTAAGTGTTGTTTTTGGATGGCACTGAGGAGATACAGTACATAGGATCAAGAGAAATTAACCTACTGTGAATACGAAGAAAAATGTGGTCTAAGATCTGTACCGTGATGATGGATTGACAAACTGTATTTACAAGAATTGTGGACTTCAGAAGAAATTGGATTGAAGGTCATTCATATGAAGTATACACTTGATCAGGAAATGACAGGTATTGATTTAGTGACTGAAGGAAAGTGTTTTCTTCTGTGAATGCTGCTTTTGACCTTTATCAGATTATTTAAACCCACATACCATTATTATGCTGCTCCCTTGTTATATAGGCTATAATAATTTAATGCTTATTTTCTCCTACCCCTCAAATTTTGAGCTTAGTAGGCTATTGGAGCATATTCATGTTTCTATCTTCGAGCAAAATATAGCAATGATGTAGGTAGAGGGTTGTCATGCAGCTGTGATTTACTGTTGAGTGTACAAACAATGTTTCTCACTGGATGTTTTCTGTATTCCTTACACTACTTTCCCACCTCTTCTCCTAGGCCCCCTTGGAACTCTTGAGTGTTTTTATTACTATTGTTAGCTCTTGGCAACATTAACTTTGCATCTTCCATTAAGCTGTCTTTTTTTACTGCTCTTGTCCTTCTTTACTTCTCACCTTCCAGGCATCAAAAGGCAGGGAGATCCCACTCTCTTCCTGATAGTCTAAAGTATTTTTTCAAGAATTACAGTGTCCTTGTTCATCCAAAGAAAAACAACTTTCTTGTAAGAAGATGGTTAAAATCTGGAGTAAAACTGCAGTTCATATTTTGGGAAATGAATGGGCAGCAGTGCAAGTTAATACTCATTTTTAGCTGTTTCTTTCATGAGTAAGCTCCTCATTTTCACTTGCAGGATAATGGGGAATGGGTTAATAATTTTGGAGGGCTGTACCACAAAATTTTTCCTCTGGAGGAAAGTGGAAGAGACTAGTCCAGGACTTGTGAAGATATGTGCATATATATGCTTTTTAAAAATCTGTTGCACTTCCCGAAGATGAATTTCTCTTCTTTCCAGATAGGATGTTGCAGAGATTCTGCAATGAGAGCAGCACAGTTTTGAAGACACGTAATGCCAGACAAATTTACGCATCACTCTAAATTCGTTACACTGTTTTAGATAACTGTTACTTCTCGAAACACCTGCATCTCCCTTGCTGCACAGAAACATTTCAGGTGTTTCTCATTACCCAGTTATTTCCCAGCTCTCTACGTGTTTCATTCTTCAGTACCAGGTCTGAAAGATAGCTTTGGAAGGAGAACAATATATTCTTACGCTTTCTTAGCATCTAGTGTAAACGAGTGAGGATGTAGATGCTCTGTAATCTCCTCAGTTTATCAGATTAAAAAAAAAAAAAGATTATCTGCAAAATGAAAATTGAGCAGACTGGCTTTTTTTAATGATATGTCAAGCAGCTGCTCTTTATATTACTTGTCAAAAGTTAAGATAATTCCTGTGATAAAAGTACATTAATCTTAGAGGCAACATAATTTTATGAGCTCAAAGCTGCAATGACACTTTTAACAGCACTTGGACTGCTGTTGTGCCACCAATTCAGTCCTTCAGAATTTGGAAAGCTGTATCTTCAGCTGCTAAATTCCTCTGTATTCCTTTAAGTCATATCTCCTGCTTAAGCTTAAAAACAGCCCCCAAACTAACCCTCATCTCATCACATTGATAGCAGGTGCTGCTAATTACAACTGGCCACCTCGACTGCTTTGGCCTCTGTGTGTGGGTATGTATACATCAGTGTAAATCATGCCATTGACTTTGTTTCTGTGAAGTTCAGGAATATTGCCTCCTGTGTTATGCGGAGATACTGCCAAGCAGTTTGGTAATGTCCAGTTTTGGGTCAGCAGCTCTATGGCAGTAGTCTAAAAGTGCTCATACTTTTGCTTAATACATATTTGTCTCTACAGCAGTAGCAGCTGCTGTCTCTGCTCTTAGGAGGTGAGGTGAAAGTAACAAAGGATTCTGAAGAGCTTTCAGTGTTAATTTCTTCTTTTAAATCCTGTATTTATTTATTTATTTCAAAGAAACATGAAAGGCTCTATATGCTTCTTTTGAACACCTTTATCTTCTCTGGTCTATGACTTAATTAGCCATAGTAGAAGTGGGCAGCAGAGATAATTTTACCTCTTAGTAGGATCAATGTCTCCTGTTATCCTCTGCCATGCCATAAAGTATAAAAGTGCATAAAAGTCTTTGCCCTTCCTTTCCCACCTTTACTTGAGGCACAGCTCATTAGTGTAATTAAGACTATTTGTTATTCTGAGACTATTAAGACTACTTGCTATTTGTGATTCTAAGAACCTAGTTTTTTTTTCTGCTGAAAAATCAGCAGCCACTCTAGTGGCTGGGTCCCAGCTCCTACTCTGTCCAATATTTCATTGCATGAAATTGAGCCTGTCTTCAAAGTAGACTTCACAGTCTGTCTCTGGGCCCTGAGTTTAAACTGAGGTGCCTGACCTGGAAGCAAGAGGTTTTTAGGGTGCAACATGCATAAGATGCAGGTCCGTATGG